CGAAGAATGCAGAAAATGCCGCGGCCCCGACTGGCGGGGGCGGAGGCGCGGCTGCGTCGCGGCAGCCTCGCAGCGCCCATGGCCACATCGGCGCCCAGTCGGCGCCTCGTCGTCGCCAGTCGTGGCAGTGTCTTCGGTCTGGCGGCCATGTGGCCGCCGTCGCCGCCCCGTCGCCGCCTCGTCTCCGCCCGTCGCCTGGGCCCATCTATTGGTCTGGCGGCTCCGCGATCGCCGCCGCCGAACCGTCGGCGACCCGTCGCCGCCACGTAAGTTGCACTAGGTAGGTTGCACCATCTACATTGCACCACGTCGATTGCACCGCGGCATGGAAAACACAGCGTAGAGCGCGCCACAAAGATACCACGACATAGATTGCGCCACGTAGATTGCGCAACATGGATGGAGACACTCGGATAGCTCCCAATCGGTTTCTGCGCAAAGAAGAATGCAACATCGAAGTCTTGCGCCCTGCGCGACACAGGAAGCACAACGAATGTTGCACAATAGACTACGCACCACACGTTACACCACATAGGTTGCACCACATCAACTGAATCACAGTCACCTGCGTCTATTGCATGACATAGCACGCGAAACCTAGTAGTGCGCCGCGTAGGATGAAACAACCTAGATTGCACTTCGTGGATTGTTCCACATGCGCTGCGAAACAATCGCGTGCACCACGTCGGTTGCTCAATATATATTGCGCAACATCGACTGCACCGCGAGCTTTGCTAGACGTGCAACACTTTGGATCCACGCTGGCTAACGTGCAGATTATGGTAGAAGCGCGTGCACATGGGCATGTGCGCCCACGTGCGCGCATACATGCGATTCTATGCGCGCATGACCGCCCGTCGCCATGCACTACAGCATGCCCGACAACTTTAGCACTTGCGGTCGGCGACCGCCAACCGTACATCGCACGCGCGCAGCCAGTGAATGCTGAACTTGTAGCTCGACGCGCCGCGCCCATTACATGGGTGTTAGCGATCCGTGCCACGTTGGATCGTGCGTCTAGTCAATCGACGCAGCGGGCTGCAACTCGACGCAAAGTGCACGCGCGCGGCGAGTGGCGCCGACCCCCGATCGCGCATGGCCAGGGCCCGCCAGCGCTGCCACTTGCCAGGGCGCAACGAGCAGCGGCGCTGCATGCGCGGCATGACAGACCCCAGGCTGCGCGGGGGGGCACCTCGTCGAAGAGGGCGCGCGCCCGGTGGCGCGGGCGCCCCAGGCCGCGGGCGCGCCGGCCCCGCTGCGCGGGGGCTGGCGCGCGGCGCCGTCACAGTCGGAGGCGCCGCCCGCCCTGGCGCGCCGCTGCTTCGGGGTGGACCGGGCGGGCGGCGCAACTATCGGCGGCAGCAGTGGCGCGGGCCCCAGCGTCGACCGCCCCGCCGACGCTGGCCCCGGGGCGGAGGCGGCGGCGACGTCGCCGCCGAGCCGCCGAGTGGCGCCCCGCCGCAGGCCACGGCGGATGGGGGAGCGCGGACGTCCGCAGGGCCCTGCGACACTGCGGCCCGCGCGGCAGGCGCGGCGAGCCCACTGCGCGGCCGGCCGCGCAGCCGCGCGCGGCGCTGCCCACCGCTCGCGACTGCGCCTTGCCTAACGAGGGGGTAAGATTGTTTGGGTCGTTCAATCCACCGCGCGCGACGTCGGTCGGGGCAGGCGCGCGCGCCCCAAACAGCGTCGCGACCGGAGCTCTAGACCGGCGGCGCGAGCTGCAGCCATCGCGCCTCGGCGGCGACCTGTGAAACACAAGTGGCGCGCGGCGCGCGAGTCGGCCGATCGGGCGCGAGAGAAACCCGCCTTCTCAATCTGCTGCGAAACAAGAGCTGGGCTCGAGAAGATCCGGCAAAATGCGCGCGCTTTGCTTCGTGGACAGCCCCGCCCGCCGGTCGCCGGGCGCGCGAATGCCGGCGGCGCTCGCCCGGCTCGCTGCCGCCGCGGCAACGCGCGCAACATTTGATTCGTGCCGAGCCGACGAATGAGACGCGCGATCTTCACCTGGGTTTCCGCGACGCCCCAATGCCCACCCCTGTCGCATGGCACCGCGGTCTTGAAACGCAGCGGCGGTAACTCGGAGCTTCGCGACCCGCGCGTCATCTGCAATGTTGCAATGTTCGTGAACCCAATGGAATCGACACCGAAGATTTCAGGCCGCACAGGTCAGCCGTTGCCCCCCGCCCGCCTGGGCCCGAGGATAGCCGGGCGAGCGCGACCGCCTCGGCTGCCAACTGCCAAAGACGCAGGGGGACAATCGCACACATGACTCGCGCGCGGGAGAACACTGGCGTCGCGAACGCGTTGCGCGCGCCCCCTTTGAATTGCAGCCCGAGCCCGAGCTCTGACTCGAGGCGGGCCCGCCTGCCAAGTTTCGCCGCTGTTTGAACCGAGTCCGCGCGGCGGCGAAGAATTCCGATTTGAAACCCAAAGTGCGCACTGCGCGCCTCGACCTCTGCGCTGAACCACCGAGGCATCATGCCCCGCAGGGCGCGAATGCACGCGCACTGCGGCCCCCCCGCAATGGGGTAACACGCATTTGTTTGCCATAATCAAACTCCGCCCAAAACGCGCGGCAATGTCATGACAACCCTTTAGAACCGCAGGGGCGTCGCGCTACAACTTGCGAAAGACGACCGCGTCATCTCCTGCGTAAGCGAGCGCAGTGGCATCGGGGGCTTGCTACTGTATGCGACGCAACGGCATGTCTGTGGCTAACACGAAAAAACAACGGCGACAAGTGGCATTCCTGTTCTTCTGCACCGCTGGTGATCGAGAAACTTACATAGACCCAGCTGTCGACCTTAATATTGCAAGCGCCATTCCAATACAGGCATGCATAGCATTGCCGAATCGTCGGCACAACGCCTATCGCTTTCAAGGCCAGCCGCCAGCACGGATGCCTGCGATCTATTCGAGAACGCAGCTGCAAAGACAAACAGAAGGAGGGCTGCGCTGTGCGCCTGGAAACAAGCGAACATGCTTGCACTGTCTACTGCATAAGCGTTGCGCAAATGGAAGGCCCTGGCAAGAAACCGCGCTGCGTGCGAGCGATAATTCTCTTTGTATGTGGCAAAACAAACGATGGTACGAATGATCAATCAAACGGTTATCGGTGTTGATTTGAGACGACTCCCTTGTCTTCGAACTCGTATGGAACTCACCAAACGCAGGATGGGCCCCGGCCGACTTTTTAGAGAGACCACACTAGTAACTCTCATCGAAAGCGGCGGGCAACACATCACACGCATCAGAACATTGCAGCAACGCCACTGCATCGAACAAAATAGATGCAAGTATTTTCTCTAGTGTCCTCCACGCTCGGAACGGGATGCCGTCCGGACCACGAGCGGGATCAATGGATCAGCGGATGGTTTCCCGCACGCGCGTGGTTGACAAGTGCCAGTTTGGATGGTCGGTTGGCACGTCCCCTCGCGAGAAATATACATTCCTGGCCAAGTCCCACTTCCACTCCCTGACACAGAGTCTTTGCAACTTGCGCCGTCAAAATATTTACTATACAAGACGACGCCTCGAATGCTTACCAATGCCTCCGGTGTATCCTGACGGCATCAAGCCTCTCCCAGAGCTCGTCCGCGCCAATTGAACGCAGTGTTCGCCCTGGGAAGCACTGGCACGAGAGGGGGGTGCCAACACGATAAAATATCTGAGGACACAAACTACGAAAGCTACAAACCCGACCCAATTCTCAATGTTCGAAAGATCCGGGTAAGCCTATCGATGCATACAGCTTACCTTCCGCACTCGAAACGACTAGTGGCGTCCGAATTGAACGCCCGGACTATCTGTTTGCACGCTCTGCGCATAGCGATTTTCACAGTGCGCAAAATACGAGGATGGTCCGCAATAGCTGCAGGGATGGGTTCCTCCTCGGCATCGCCCTCAGGACGCCGGGGCGTCCTCCGAGCAAATTCGCCGGCCCAACGGGCCAGGGCGTGCTAAGATCTCCGGTAACTGGTTAACACTATTAACAGTATTTCTAGTTCGCGCGCGCGGGGCGGCCCCTGGGGGTCCCCCGGCGAAAAGTACCCCGACCAACGCCCGACCGCCGCCCGACCGCCGCCCGACCAAGTCTACTCAGAGATGGTTTTCCTTTTGGGTGCGGCCTCTCAGGCTCCCCAGAGCGCGCTCAGAGTGCCCCAAGAGGCCCCCAAGACTGCCCAAGAGGCCCCCGAGACGCCCAAAGAGCGCTCGAAGACGCCGAAGATGACCCCAAGACGGCCCAAAAGGCCCCCAAGACAGCCCAAGAGGCCTCCAAGACGCCCCAAGAGCCTTCCAAGAGGCCTCCGAAGAGAGCCCCAAGAGGCCAAAATCGTTGATTTTCATTTGTTTTTTCGATGTTTTTTGTGTTCTGGCTTTTTCGGCTTCCGGACGCTCCAAGACGGCCCAAGAGGCCCCCAAGACCGCTCCAAGACGGCCCACGAAGCTCCCAAGACGGCGCCGAAACGACCCAAGAGAGCCCTCAAGACGGCCCAAGTGCCGCCCAAGACGGACCAAGAGGCCCCAAGACGGGCCCAAGAGGGACTCAGGAGGGATACCGAGAACTCAAAAATGGAGCCCTCCGTCCCAGAAGGCGCCCAGGAGGTCCCAAAGAGGCCCCAAGAGGCCTCCAAGAGGCCCCAAGATGTCGCCAAGAGGCCCCAGGAGACTCCCAGGAGGCCCAAAAGAAGCCCCAGAAGGCTTCAAACATGTCTCCCAGGCGCCCCCGAACGGCCTCTCAACAGACCCCAAGAGGCCCCCCAAAGAAGCATCTTGACGACGACTCTATTTCGCCCCATCGAGAGACGACCCCCAGGGAACTGCTTCACCATCAAAACTCCCCACGCAACGCGTCCGAACGACACCCGCCCCCAAGAGCGCAACATGGGCAACGAACACACAGACAAAAACCAGCGATGCCATATCACGGGCCGGCGGAATGAGCGAAGCGATTCAATAACAAAAGCTTATGAGCGGACGTGCGGGGATGGGAAGGCAGCGCTGTACAGTCGAGGTGCTAATCCATCGCCTCGCTCTGCTGATTGTACTACATGCGATCAATACGCGAGTTGGCATTACCAATCTCGCAAGTGAAACGTTCTTGCGTCCACTCCTCTAGGCCGTAATGGCCGCGTACATGAAATTGAAATGTTGCGGTCTCAGTGCCATTTGTGTCCAGACCATTGCCCAACGTCCTTCTGCCAACGATCGTGCTGATGCTCTGTGATATTGAAGTCGCAAAAAACCAGAAGTGACACTGCCAAGGTCCGAACAATTCGCCGCGACCCGTTACAAACTCTGGGCTCTGGCAGAATGGGAGTGCGCATCAAAGTGCACCACCCAAACATTGAAACCTCCGGCCTGGCTGCGCAGAAAACATTGAGGTGCAGTTCCAGCGGCTTCGCCCTGCATTATCCACGTTCTCGTATCTGACATACATTGACATAGCTTCACATACGCTAGTGTACTTTAACGCACGTGATCAACAAACTTCCATACGTAACCCAACGTTTGCTGACCATCACAAGTAACCCACTATTCGAGGCAAAAACCCTACGCTACGCATGTTGAGCTGAATTCAAGTTTAGCTAAAACAGGTTGAGCCCTTACATCGCGTTCGACTGCTTAGCTAAGCCTGATGGCGGTTCGTAGAAACCTACTCGACCAAGCAGAGGCCCCCGAGAGCGTTCCGGAAGACCCCCAAAAGCATCCTTGAAGACTCTGGCCCACGTCAGCGTCGTCGTCGCCTCCGCCGCCGACGTCGTCGTCGTCCCCCTTCAGGGTCGGCGGCGCCGGCCGTAAGGCCTTCGCAATCGGATCGGAATGGCAAGAAATGATATCAAATCGGATCGATCGGATAGAAATATAGAGGTCAAAAAATCCACCCCCATAATAACCACCCCGACACGCGTAGTCGTTTAGTAAACGTGCCCCCAAGGAATCAAACAGGGCAGGGCTGGTTAGTAAACGCCCAGGGCCGCTTAGTAAACACAAACTGTCTCTTGAAAATGGACCCTGCAGGGGGAGACCAGCTCTGGAAGGAGACATCGACTTGGAATCGGCGACACATCGCCGTTAGATCGGCGATGGGACCTCGATAGCAAAACCGCACGTTGGTAGGCGGGGACCCCAGTCGGCGACGAATGTGCGATTGGAGGTCGATGCGCTCCCCCTGGGAACATCCCCGTTCCGAATGGGTTTCGGCTCATTGCTCGGCTCTCCGGCGACGGTTCGGGGCGATCCGGGCACCTCCGAAATGCTCTCGGCGAGCCGCAGCCTCTGAAGGCACCCCGAGGCTTGAAAACCGCCGAGACGAAACCGCCCAAAAAACCTCGCCACACCTCGGTGGATCCTCCCCTGGGCCCTGGGCATATCCCCCCTCTATCTTACGTTGCACCTACAGAAGAACTCGCATGTCCTGTCACGCCTGCCACCCGTGTCGCATCCGCGCTGGATCCATGTCGAACCCGTCGAATCCATGTCGAAGCTGTGTCGGACCCAAGCCGAATGCACGGCGAATCCGCGTCGAACCCTACTAGGAGAACAAGAAAAAACCTGCCGTTTACAGGACAGGAGAAGTGCCCCCGAAGATGCAAGTGGGCGGGGGCAGGCCTTCTCAGAAGGCGGCGGGACGTCTTGGAAGCCGTCCTTGGCCGTCTGAGAAACCACCTCTGTCTTCGGAAGAGACCTGGAACACCCCTCTGCCGGCAGGAGGCCTCCCGAGCCTTCTGAGAAGGCCCGCCCCCTCTGCACTCCCCCCCTGGGCTCACCGCCGCATAGTATTAGGTCGGGCCTGTCCTCCTACAGGCGGAGTGTGAAAGAAAAAAGAAGCAGATCCAACATAGATTCACACATTGACCAAAGAGCACGAAAAAACGCCACCATATAATTGTTTATGTATTGTTTTTCTTTTTCCTGTAGAGGGGCATGCCCGACTTAAGAATCGTAACCTGCCGTTTCCCCGAGAATCGGCCTTGGGCCGCGCCCAGCCACGTACAGTAGGAACTCAATCACAAAAAACCTTCCACAAGAAACCTAATCCTGAGACCCCAGGAC